TCCGTTGCCGGACACGGAAAAAAAGACAAAAGACAAAAAAAATAAATAAATAAAAATAAAATTTTACTTCTCAAAATACGTTGAACTTGATTATCATTCCCCTTTACCCATTCCTCTCCACCCCTCCCCTCCACATCATTTCTGTTCTCTTGACTTAAATAGTTTAAGGAATTTTTGTAGTTATTCTGTCTTCTTCCCCCACCAACCTTATTTGTTTGTGTGTTTATTTATTAATTATTTTTTAGCTCCCACAGATAAGTAAGAACATGTGGTATTTCTCTTTCTGTGCCTGACTTGTTTCATTTAATATAATTTTCTCTAAGTCCATCCATGTTGTTGCAAATGGTAGTATTTTGTTCTTTTTTATAGCAGAGTAGTATTCCATTGTGTAGATGTACCACAGTTTCCTTATCCAGTCATCAGATGATGGACATTAGGGCTGGTTCCAGCTCTTGGCTATTGTATATAGAGCTGCAATAAGCACTGGAGTACTGGTATCCCTTCAGCATGATGATTTCCATTCCTCTGGGTATATTCCCAGCAGTGGAATAGCTGGGTCATATGGTAGATCTATCTGTAATTGTCCGAGGAGCCTCCATATCATTTTGCAGCCCCACCAACAGTGGATGAGAGTTCTTTTTTCTCCACAACCTTTCCAGCACTTATCACTCACAGTCTTTTGGATGTTAGCTATCCTAAATGGAGTGAGATGGTATCTCAGTGTGGTTTTGATTCACATTTCCCGAATGTTGAGTGATGCTGAGCATTTTTTTCATGTGTCTGTTGGCCATTTGTATATCTTCCTTTGAGAAATGCCTGTTCAGCTCCTTTGCCCATTTTTTAATTGGGTTATTTGTTTTTTTTGCTGTAGAGTTGTTTGAGTTCCTTGTATATTCTGGATATTAATCCTTTGTCAGATGTATATTTTGCAAATATTTTCTCCCACTCTGTTGGTTGTTTTTTACTTTGTTGATTGTTTCTTTTGCTGTGCAGAACTTTTTAGTTTGATATAATTCCATTTGTTCTTTTTACCTTTAGTTGCCTGTGCTTTTTGGGTCCTATTCATGAATTCTGTAGCCACTCCTACTTCCTGGAGTGTTTCTACTATGTTTTCTTTAAGGAGTTTTATTGTTTCAGGATGTATATTTAATTCTTTAATCCATTTTGAATTGACTTTGGTATATGGTGAAAGGTACAGGTCTAGTTTCATTCTCCTACATATGAGTATCCAGTTTTCCCATCACTTGTTGAAAAGGCAGTCTCTTCCCCAGTATGTAAATTTGCTGCCTTTGTCAAAGATCAGATGGCTGTAGGTGTATGGTTTGATTTCTGGGTTCTCTATTCTATTCCATTGATCTGTGTGTCTATTTTTGTGCCAGTACCATGCAGTTTTGGTTATTAGAGCTTTGTAATGTAGTTTAAAGTCTAGTAATGTTATGCCTCCAGTTTTATTTTTTTTTGCTCAGGATTGCTTTGGCTTTGTGTGGTCTTTTGTAGTTCCATGTAAATGTCTGGATAGCTTTTTCCATCTCAGAGAAAAATGTCATTGGAATTTTGATGGGAATTGCATTTGGGTAATACGGACACTTTCACAATGTTAATTCTTCCAATCCAAGAGCACAGGATATCTTTCCATCTTCTTGTGTCTTCTTTTATTTCTCTCAATAGTGATTTGTAGTTCTCTTCATAGAGATTGTTCACATCCTTGGTCAGCTTTATTCCTAAATATTTTATTTTTTGGTGGCTATTGTAAATGGGCTAGCTATCTTGATTTCTTTTTCTGTGTGTTCACTCATTGAGTATAGAAATGCTACTGATTTTTCTGTGTTGATTTTGTATCCTGCAACTTTGCTGAAATCATTTATCAACTCTAGGAGTTTTTTTTATAGAAGCTTTAGGCTGTTCAATATGTAGGATCATATTGGGAGCGCCGCCGCGCTTCCCAAGCGGCGCACTATCCAGTGCGCCACCGGGCCGGCCCTCAGCTTTTTTTCCATCCTGTTCAGGATGATATTGGCAGTGGGCTTACTGTATATGGCTCTAATTATGTTGAGATACTTTGTCTATGCCTAACTTGTAGAGAGTCTTTATCATGAAAGGATGTTGAATTTTGTCAAATGCTTTTTCAGCGTCAATAGAGATGATCATGTGGTTTTTGTCTTTGCTTTTATTAACGCAGTGTATCATATTTATTGATTTGCATATGTTGACCCAACCTTGCATCCTTGGGATGAATCCCACTTGATCGTGGTGTATAATTTTCTGTATGTGTTGCTGTATTCTGTTAGTTAGTATTTTATTGCTTGACGAACATTAAGTTAATATAAAATGTGAAAGCCAGTGACTAGTAAGATAAGTCAATATGTAGTATTTTTGTAGATATTATAACCAGGGTCCCATGTTATATTCTTTAAGTTTTCAGGGAAAACTGAAAAATTTACTTTTAAAATTATGTAAATAAAACATGAATATATATATATACTAAAATATTTTAAAAGTTTAAGCATATCAATAAAATCTATGATTCTATAAATAGTAATTAGATTCCAGGTTACTAAGGGACTACTTCTTGGGTGGCTATTTAGTGAATAATGCATGCCAACAGCTGATTAACTGTTAGTCAGAAATTTCTAATGAAGGCAACTCCTACATAGAGGCAGATACCCTAAAAAGACATATAAGATGCAGCATTTTCTCAAAACACATTAATGATTTTTTTTCATGATTCAAGACCAATATTTATTTATTTTATTATTATTTTTTAAATTTATTTCTTTGAAATTTTTATTTATTTATTACAAATATTCATGAGATACAAAGCTGATTGTCCTCCCTCCTGTCCATGATGTGCGGGCCAGATTTATACTGGGGGCATACCCATTACCAGAAATTACTTTTGTACCCTTTGTCTCCTTTCCCCAAACTCCCTCCCCTTCCCCTTCTCCCCTCAACTCCAATTTGTAGCCTTAGGAATGTTCCCTCCCTCTGTTGAATCATGCCACTACTGTGGTCTTTCTTCCCTGCCTTCCTTTCTCTCTTGGCTCCCATATATGAGTGAGCACATGAGGTATTTATCCCTCTGAAAACACGTTAATGATTAATGACAATTATTAAATTTAAAAAATTTGAAATAGCAAATAATTTAAAAAATGCTCAAAGACAAAACTGTTATTATATTCCTATGCTGCACCAGGCATTTAACAATATATTAAATACAGGTATCAGTTATCCCTTGCTATCTGAACTCTATTTCCTATCTTAATAGACAACAAACAAATAAATAAATTTAGATAACACAGTATCCCTTGATTTCTCACTATCCCAACCCAGGAATCAAATGGATGTGGATGGTGAGGGATATTTGTACTTCATATTGACTATATCAAGCCAAAGCATATCTAAGATACTGTCAAACAGGGTTCTAGTATATCGGTCACAATCTGCCATACTATGATGAAATAAATGTTATTCCTGCAAGAAATACTGATAAATTACTGGAAAGTAATGGAATAATTAAAAGTAAAATAGGGCCGGCCTGGTGGCTCACTTGGGAGAGTGCGGTGCTGGGAGCGCCGAGGCTGCGGGTAGCACCGAGGCTGCGGGTTCGGATCTTATACAGGGATGGCCAGTGCGCTCACTGGCTGAGCGTGGTGCAGACCACACCGTGCCGAGGGTTGCGATCCCCTTACCAGTCCAAAAAAAAAAGTAAAATAGCTATGTTGAGATTTACTATAGAAAGAGTGAGGTCGAAAGGTTTAAAGACAGGTCCAAAAGATGGAAAATGCCAGAAAATAAGCAATTACATGGGTAACTCAGTGATTATACATAAGCAATCAGAATGGTTCAGGAGCCTCAAAATATTATTCCATTTAAACTGTTTAAAAAAACTGTGTATGTAACACACAACAATACAGAAAGGTTTCCAGAATGACATTTTAATAGACTGGCAAAACACCAGCATTTTATTGTCAATGAAAAAGCCACAGTTATCCTGCAAAATAACAGCTATTGTGAATCATTAATGTATTTCCCTATTAGAATACAAGCTCTATGATGGTAGAGATTTTTGTCTATTTTATTCATGAGTGCATCCCAAGTGTCTAAGACAGTGCCTGACATAAATATAAGTTAATGTTGCAGAATAAATTAGTAATAAAAATACTTGTGTGAGTTATCATTTTTTCTCATTTATGAGAAAAAAATTCATTTATAATAAATTATACCTCAAATTATACGTACGTATATACATACATAGATACACAGACATAGATATGTGGATATACCCTTAATAGAGTTTAGGTATGTTGCCCCAACAAAGCTTGTGTTGAAATCTGATCTTAGTGTGGCAGTGTTGGCAGCTATTTGGGTGACGGTGGCAGATCTCTCAAGAATGGATTAATATCCTCTCTGGTAGTGATGGGGATAGTGAGTGAGCTCTCTATTAGTTCTCGGGAGAGCTGGTTATATAAGTGACCTTGGCACCCCCCAACCACCACCACCCCCGGCCTTGCTTCCTCTCGCTATGTGATCTTGTACCCACTGGCAACCTGCCACTTTCTGCTGAGTACAAGTAGCCTGAGGCCTGCAACAGATGCAGCTGTTCCAGAATTGTTGAGTCAAATAAACCTTTTTTCTTTATAAATTACCTAGTTTCAGGTATTCTATTATAGCAACACAAAAATGGACTAATACAACCCCAAATGAGGATATAATAAATCCTCATTTACAATAAATACATTATAACACAAATGAGGCTAAAACAACATTAATATTGAAAGCTACTGTTAAAAGTCAAGGAGTCAAATGAAGTCAACAAGAATTGACAATAAAAGATTATTTTTGGTATGATGAAAACAATCACAAGAGGACACACAAACATTAGAAAGTAGGTTCAGGATGGTAAAGAAGTTGCTTTGAAATTGTTCTCTCTAATCTCTAGCAAGTGTCTGGCAAGAGCTGACATTAAGAATTATTTAAGTAAATGAAGGAATAATAAGTATTTTAGGTGGACACCTCCCCGCCTCCCAATTCTTATGCTGAAGTCCTAATTCTCAGTATCTCAGAATATGATCTTATTAGAATAGGTTTGCTGCAGATAAGATGAGGTCATACTGAAGGAGAGTAGACCTCTTATAAATGTATCTGCCTCCTTATAAAAAGGGTAAATTTAGACAGAAGGTGTGCCATGTGAAGAGAAAGGTGGAGATGGGGGTGATGAGTCTACAAACCAAGGAACACTGAAGACTGTCAGCAAGTTGCCAGAAGCTAGGCGAGAGGCATAAAACAGCTTTTTTTTCCCTCTCCTTCCCAATTTTTGGAAGGAACTTAACCTACTCTGCCAACACTTTGATCTTAGACTTCTAGACTCTAGAACTGTGAGATAATGAATTTCTGTTGGTTAAGCCACTCTGTGGTACTTTGTTAAGGCAGCTGTAGCAAACTAATACAGCAAAGTAGAAAGAGAAAGAGAATTAGAAAGATAAGAAAATCTCTAGGCAAATGAAGTGTCTCAATGAGTAAAAGGGTAGAACCTGAAGACAGCTGTGTTTTACAAAGTCTTAAAGTTTGAATTTTCATTCTCCTCAATAATATCATTTTTAATAAAATATTAAACTAATTCCACACCATGCATTCTCAATTTTCCAAATAAAACTGACATTCAAATAGTATACACCATTTTATCTTGAACTTTGTGTATCCTTGGACACACTGCATTATATCCCAAAGATTATAGGTAGTCCAACCATTTATATGAAAAACGTAATTCTAAAAACAATGAGTATCTGCTGATGTTCTTGATGTTGTAATTCTTTGTCTATCAGAAGCTGGTAAAAGATATGGGTAATTTCACAAATCTGAAAAAGCTGCAAAGGTAATCTGATACACAGCCTCAGCTTGTCTATAGCCATTTATCCTGGGGGTTAGGTGCAGTGGGGTTATCAATTGCCTGCATGTATCAAAGGGCATTCAGGCTCCCTGGAGAGTGAGATAAGAAAATACTGGCCTCTGCTGAAAATTTCATGTACTTCTGTAATTTCATGTACTGAAAATAAGTCACATTCTTTAAAAAATTCTACCACATATGCTTATAAATTCCTTTCTATTAAGGACATAGTAGGAAAAAGTAGTATTTACCTTCCCCTATTGAAAATAAGATGAGACAGCTGGGGAAGAAGAATATATAAAGAAAGCAGAAATGACAAGCTTCATATAATGGCACTAGTAGTTATTAAGTGAATCTTTTCATTGACTCAAATCTATTCATGGAAGGAAACACTTATATTAGTACCCTAAAAAGGCAATAAAAAGACTACAGATTAAGAATGGAAAGAAAGTACAAATATTATAAAATAATACTATGAGGCTTATCCATAAAAGATGAAGTCATATAGGTTACCTTAGATATCATACAATCTATGACCACAAGATTCCATACATGTTTTAGTAATTATGCTGTCATATAAAGTGATTTTGAGAATTTTAATCGAAAACAATTCTTTGGGAAGCTAAGCTAATATTCTACATCTTCCTTCCAGAATTTAAGTTCAGTACCTTCTATCTGTGGCACTTCACCATGAAGCTTGGCTTTGCTGGAGAAAGGTGCATTCTGTAGCACTAATGCAAAGAGAGATGGGATCAAAGACTGCAAGGCAGAAAGATACATGTGGAGCTTGTGTTCATCCAGCCCATGTTCTCCTTCCTGAAACAGAAGGAGGTGGAAGCTAATTTTAGTCTTTTGAAATTACATTGCTAATTGGATTTATGATGTTCTTCCTTTCTGTGGCAAATCAAACATTTAAGGACCTGGATGTTGGTGGAGCTTGTGTTCATCCAGCCCATGTTCTCCTTCCTGAAACAGAAGGAGGTGGAAGCTAACTTTAGTCTTTTGAAATTACATTGCTAATTGGATTTATGATGTTCTTCCTTTCTGTGGCAAATCAAACATTTAAGGACCTGGATGTTTGACTCAAAACATAACACTTAATGGCGATATCCATGAATCTTTTCTTAATTTCTCTAAATATGTGAAAATGTGAAGAAGCACTACAGCACTGTTGAAGAAGTAATAGAATTTTTTATACGGAAAACTGTAAGGTAAATAGTCATTTCCATTTGTAGGGCATAGCTTTTACAGGTTTTCTTTAGAAAGGGTCTTATCTTCTGAAATTTTATAAGTCAGGGTAAAGAAATTAAAGTGAGCCATAGGACTCGTTTTCAGTGCTCAACTGCTAACCCAGGAGCAGCTATTGCTACTTCCCCTCTCCAACTTTCTACCTCCTTTTACAGATTTGGTGACATTTGTATTTGCAAGTATTGAAAGCACTTTAAAATAATTCAATGCATAGACAGAATGTAGGAGAAGAAATTTCAAGAGGAAACAAAAGAAAGATAACAGGGAAAAAAAGAAAAAAAGTAAAAAGATCAGCATGGTATACAGAAACTAAATATTAAAGTGAAAAATAGAATCATTAAAGATGAAAGCATTTATTGCTGTTCAAATCCACTTGAGATGTCATAACTATATTATCATATAACAACTGTGTCAGAAATACCCATGAATTATTTACTATCAAGTTCTACATTAGTAAATTTCCTCATGAAAGAATTACTAGCTATGCTGAATACTGCATATATTTTTAGTAGCAATGCAAAATTAGCCATGTTATGAAAGGGAACAAACAAAACCAGGTATGGGTTATTCTTAGGTAGAAGGAAAGCAAGAGCTTTAAAAAACACTTTAAAAAATTCCCTAGGTTTCATAAAAAGGGGTTTCTTCAGTCTAGTTATCTATTTATAGCTTTAAAAAGTATCCATTTTGAAATTCATAAAAAGAACAGCTCAATTTTTAAATTAAATAAATACATGTGGAAACATGAGATCTACAGAGTAGTTACAATAATTTATGTAAGAACCTTATAGATCTTTTAAAATTTTGGGGTAGAAAGCGTGAGAATTTGGAATCAGAGACCAATATCAGATGCTGGTTCTGTCATTTGACAGCTGTGGGACCGTGGCAAGTTAGTTAAACACTAAGTCTTGGTTTCCACATTAAAAAAACCCCAGAATATATTTCAAAAAGTTATGAGAATAAAATAGAATGTTTATATCTAAAGTATCTACCTTAATAGATAGATAATATAACAGGCATGAAAGAAATGCTAGTTTCTCTTCTAGCCTCTAAAAAGCTTTTAGTACAATAACTTCATTTCTTCAACTTTTCTTCAACTTTTACTTAAAACAATGAAAAGTTCATTTTAAAAAGTGAAGAAATGGGGCCGGCCCGGTGGCACACTGCTACAGTGCGCCGCTTGGGAGCGCAGTGGCGCTCCCGCCGAGGGTTCGGATCCCACATACAGACCGGTTCCCGCTCACTGGCTGAGCGAGGTG